CCTCCGTTCCAACATCTTCCGTCTCCCAATTCCTCTCGTCCACGCGAGATAGACGCTGATCGCGACCAGAGCAGTTCTGCAGTACGCGAGAGGCAATGGATCGCTGATAACAACCTGAGCAATGAGCTGAAGCCGTTCCAACAAATCTCTTCCGTTGCTGATTTCGAATCCGTCGCCGCAGCCGCATCCTCCATCGCCACACCTCCCGCAACTCCTTGCACTCCTCAAAATCCCACGGCCTTTGCGGAATCGTCTTTGTCCTGCAACAAAAAGACCACTCCAAGTTCAAAAGAAAGGGCGATGATCTCTTCGTTAAGCCCAGTCCGGCCTTCCTCCGAACTGCATCTTCTCTCTCACTCCCCCTTGGTCCCGTGATGATGAAATTTCCTTTAATTATTTGATCTGTTTTAGGCGTTCGAGTGATGATGAAATGAGATGCAACAAGCCAGTGGTGATATCCTGCAAGAAGCAGCAGAGAGAAGTTGCTACTGTTCATAACATTGTTAACAAGCAGATTGATAAGACCTTTACTTTTGATAAGGTCTTTGGTCCATCATCACTTCAAATTGATTTGTTTCAGCAAGCAGTCTTCCCTTCTGTGAGCGAAGTTTTTGAGCATTTTAGCTGTGATATTTTTGCATACAGCCAGATAGGTATTGGAAAAACATACAGCATGGAAGGAGGCACAGCTAATGCAAAGAATGGAGAATTTCAAAATGACGTTGGTGTTATTCTGAGGTTTGTTCGTCAAATCTGTGATAAGCTTGAGAGTCACAATTCTCACTATAGTATGAAAGTTTCATTTCTAGAGCCATATAATGAGGAGATAGTCGATCTTCTGGCACTTAAAGAATTAAAGCTCTTAGAGGATAAATTCAAGAAGCAGATAGCTGTTTTTGAAGATGGAGAAATCCTCTAAGGAAATTCAATATAAAGGCTAAACAAAGTGCAAGGCAACGGCAAAAAGTGGACATGCATATGAGGAGCACGCAACAATTTAGAGAGCTTTTAGCCCAGATGAAGTTTCCAGAGTCCTGCATGAGACTAGGTTCTCCAAACGACGGGTCCTCTTCTGCGATGGAGCTTTTGGATGAGGTGTTGCCCACAGTTTTTTATTTAATGCAAACCTGTGAGGAGTTTGGACGCTGGCAATGTGCAAATGCTTGATATGAAGTCCGCTGACAAAGCCTATCCAATGCCATGCTCACAAGGTGTTCGATGTAATGTCGCTAATGACTTCGGGCAATTGAGTGTTGACAATTTCCTTGCTGAGAGTGATTTAATATTTCAGGACAAGGCAATACAGAAGACATTGGATGGTCATCCTCTCGGGAAGACAACATCTATCTCCCACATCAGCCACTTTCAAGTGATGCTTCCCGCATCACAAGCTTGGCAGATGGGTGTTCCTTTTCCTATTCTAAGGTTTATTGCATTCCAAAATGATTTAATTAGGACAAGAGAAGCATTGGATCCGCGATGCAAAGTATTCGACCTAGGTGGATTGATTATAAATTTTACATCTTCCTCCCTCTCTACAACAAGCCTCGACGGGGTCGAGCTCTTTTGACGCAAGGGGAGAATGATGCGGAGCATTTTAAGTCTAAAGTGTCCCTTAGAATATCTTATGTAGTTTGTTATAAGTTTTCTAGAATCTTCTAGGATTCTCTAGTTTTTCCTTACTTTTGCATTATATATAGGGAATGTGTAAGAGGAGAAAGGCATTGAATGAAATATACATCCCTTTGGAGCTTGTGAAGCTCTCTTCTCTTCTTCCCTGGATTGGAAATCCTAAAATCCTTCTTGCAGGTATCATCTTCCGACGATCCACTACATCAAATTGGAAGCCGGGTGGAAGTCTGGCTTTAGTTGATTTTTGGGAAAAAGTCTAGAATCAAATGGTGGCTGGGCAGAAGTTTGGCGTCAGTCGATGGCCGAGTGAAAGTCTGACATTAGTCCGACGATGGTCTATGGTCCAATAGTGGTCGAGGAGTCTGGTGGCAAAAGAATTCTAGTTTTTTTATCTTCTTTCTGTTCCCCTCTCCCTTGCTTTTCTCCCCTTTTCATGAGGAATGAGATATCCATTTATAATTTTATGAGAGTGGCATGGCCAGCAAATAGGATGAAAATCAAGGGTATGTTGAGAGTTATTTGAATGGACGATCAATATTGATCTCCTTGATTGTGGCCTGTTTACTGGACATTTAAATCTCTTAGTAATATCAAAATTCAATGATCTTAGGCTTGTCGGATTCGTCTCGTCGAGCCGCTTGATTCGACTATAAGCATGTCATGTTTGGGAATCGTTTGGTCATCCAATTTATGGCTTGAACTTTCTATATGTCCTTTGGGTCTTCAATTTGAACCCATTTTGGCTCGGATTGAGTTGAATTTTGTGTCGTTGGGTTCATATTTTCGAGACGTTCAGTTCAACTATAAGTTTGCTAAAATAAGAGTTCATATGGATTTGAATTTAATTTCGAAAGTTTTCAACTTGATTTTACCTTGAGATTCATACCCAATCAAGATAAATTTTTTTTATACTTGTGTGTTTTTTTTTTACAATCTGCATATTGTTATGTTATTTTAAGAGTTGTATTTTTTATTTCATATATTGAAAGATAATTACAGTTCCTAATTTGTGGCTATACTCATTAGAAAAGTACTAAAATGCTTTAATTTTCTGAAAATGTTTGCTAGTAACTTCATAATCTGATAAAAAATACATTGGTATTTTCTAATAGATTTTAGTCCACCGAAATTCATTTCTTCTGAGATATTTACCAATGAATGTAAATTATTTGAAAATTCAACATTCCAACAAAATAGAGCCAATTTCTAATAGTTTTTCCATATAGAGAGAGAGAGAGACTATGGATTAACTTTAAAATTTTGAACACATCCCCTTATAGAGAGGAGTCATAAAAAGGTTGAAGAAGAAAGTCAAACATACGAGAGGAGTCCTCTCAATTTAGGTGAAGCTATGCTATAAGCTGCTTATTCATTCAATCATCCATCATTAAAGTACTGTAATCTCATTTATCAGCATATTTCTACCCATAGATGAGATAGTACCCTTTTGACCAATTCCTCTACAATTAGGAAATTTTCATTTATGACCCATTTTACTATTAAAATTATAAAAAGTCCTATTATTCTTTATCCTTCTGCATCCTTCTTTAAAACATACAAATTCAAAATATGTAGAGTCGAGAGAAAAGTTCTTCAGTAACTTGTCTCTATTGCAGAAGTATCGTATTGCACATCTCTTCTTGAGTAAACAAAGCATTTGATTCATATTGCATGATTTGGGAGGCTTTTTAAGATGAAGAATATATAAAATTGGACAATTCCAATTCATAAAATTTAAAATTTAGTATTTATTATTAAAAAAATTATTTAAAATATTATATTTTAATATTTTTTATTTTAATAATTAAAAATATAAAAAAATTATATACATATCAGTGAGTTCTTATGTATTTATATATCTGACACTTAAATTCTTATAGTTCTTATGTATTTATATATCTGACACTTAAATTCTTATAGGAGGGTTTATGTACCATTACAAGAAAATCGCGTGTTATCGTCGGCCAAAATCAGCCGAAAATTTGATTTTTTAGCGAATTTTCAGCAAACTTCAGCCGAAGATAATTCGTGCGTCGGAAATTTTACTCTGGCCGAAATTTTCGCCGGAAACATTTTCAGGGGGCTTACTGGTCGAAAAAAGGAAGCAGAAACATCATTTACCTATTATACGTTCCGGCATTTTATCCGCCGGAATTTATATCATATAATTCTTATGAATTTACATGTCTAATGTCTATATTTTGATATTCATTAATATAATACATTGGTGTTATATTATTACATCAAAATTTATACATGAAAAGGTTTTGTCCCATTTTTTTTTAAAAAAATACTATTAGTAGTATGTTTATGTAATTTGAAATTTTAAGTGGTATATACAAGTAATATATAGGTGTATGATATGTAAATTTATAAAAATTTTATACTATGTATGTAAACCCCCCATCTTTATTTTTATTTAATACAGCAAACTAATATCTAAATCATTTATTAATAAAATACTCATATTAATTTATCTAAAATGAAATACATCTTTTCCAGCATAAGTTTTGATGAAAAATAGATGTAAAATTTTAGGTGATTAATATGTAAATAGATTAAAAAAATGATATTTATATAAATCCCCTCAAAATATAACCAAATTGAAACTTTCTTAAATCATTAAAGTATCTAAGCCATAACTAATTCCAAAGTACAAAACTAAAATCAAAATATAAAATTTAAACCTTTAAAATAAGCCAAAAAAAAAATCAAAGAATTTGGACCATAGTCAACCTATGAATCATTTTTGTATGTACTCTAAAAGATATTAGCATATTGCACTGCCGGGGTATTTTTGCAAAAAAGAAATCCAAGCAAACTTGCCCAAGTAATTGCGTATATTACAAGGAGCGAATGAGCTAGATCTCCTTATAAAACAAAGTATAAATTCCCTCACATCCCACCATCCCCAGGCCTGCCACCAAGACTCTCCATTTCCTTTCAAATCTCCTCTCCCCTTCTCTCCCTCCTCTTGATCTTCCCATTCTCTCTATTTCCAAGTTTTAATCTCTCTCTCTCTCTCTACACCAAGTCAAATTCAATGAAGCCACATCAAGTAGAACAATTAAATAATCAAAACAACCAATTCCACCTCCTTCAATCCCCCAAACTCTTCTTCAACTCCATCTCCTTTCTCCCCAAGCTCCTCACTTTCTTCCTCATCTTCGGCTTTGGCCTCGCCGTCGGCATAACCTCCACCTCCTACCTCAAATCCATCCCCTTCCCCTTCCAATCCATCCAACTCCAACCCCCCATCCTTCCCTCTCCTCATCCATCACCACCTTACCAACCGACATCCCACCCCACACGACTACACCACCTCCTGCCCCTCTTTCCCCTCCCCCTCCACCTCCCCCTCCAAGTCCTCCAAAAGGTCTCAATGGATTCATTGAACCGAACGAAATTGAGCACGACATGACAGACGAGGAGCTTCTATGGAGAGCTTCCTTGGTGCCCAAAACCAGCTCTTTTCCTTACAATCGCCTGCCTAAGATTGCATTCATGTTCTTGACGAGGGGGCCTCTCCCCTTTATTCCCCTATGGGAAAAGTTCTTCCAAGGACACCATGGCTTGTATTCAATCTACGTTCATGCCGATCCTTCACACAACGAGTCCGTACCGGTGGAGTCAGTCTTCCATGGCCGACGAATTCCAAGCAAGGTTGGTTTCTTCATACTTCTTTTCTCTGTATTTTCAAATCTTCTTGTCTCTTTAATCAACTTTTTTATTTGAATAGAATAATAAAATAACAAGTTTAGAATCAGTATTTAAATGCTTAAAATTGGAAAATAATATATTTAAATTGTTAAGATAAACTTAATTCATGCTATTATCGTTTTATTTTTATTCTTATTTTTAATATTTTTTTATTATTGTTAAGATAAAATAAGATTTTGTTTATTTTCTTTTGCATTCACATCCAAGTATTACATACGCGGAATTCTTCCTGATGCAGTAAGCGCCACATTGCTCATTCATACGGTTCGGCTACCCGGCTAAAAGGAATATTCTTAATTTTATAACTGACTAGGGGCGTAAACCAGTAGAGATTATTACGTCCTAAGTTTCGACATAGAGAATGATTCGATTTTGTGATTGTGAATAAAGAAGGCTCAACAAACACGTAGGAGTGAATATACAGTTCAAACGCACTGGTGAATAGTAACTGTCATTTTACTGTAATTTTATCATTCAAAGTCACAAAAACGAACAGTTCGCTATGTCCAGACTTCGTACGTAGCGGAGCCAAATTTTAGTCATTTCTATCTTTTTTATTATAACAGCTTCAGCTTTTTTTCTAAGAGTTCCAGCCAAGCTATTTATTATAAAATAAAAAAATAAATATGATTTAAATTATTATTATAACAAATTAAATAATAATAAAAAATATAAGAAAATAATAAAATATTACTTAATATAAGATAATGAGATATAATTTTTAAAAATTTTGTAATTAAAATCCAAAAATTCTTATATAGTTTAAGTATATTTTATGATAATATTTTTTAAATGAATGAACTTGCGAGCTAACGATTCGACTCAGGGCTGGCTTAAGTTTGGCTCATGAGTTCGTCATGAGTTATTTTTGAAGCGGAGCTTGAGCAAGCTCAAGAGTTAACTTGACTCACTTACCTCCCTAACATTGACCTCAAAATTTGCTAGATGGGCTGGGCATGTTTATAAGTATGTAAAAAGCAATTATAAATTTGTAAAATTGGTAAATTATTATTATTATTATTATTATTATATGTTTTGGTGAAGTTAATAGGCGGAGAAATTTAAATGAAATTAAATTTTTAATATATTTAGGAAAGCATGTGGCCTTTTGAGTTTTTCTGGCTATGAAAATTTCACTTCTGACCAGCTTTGAAAAGTCCAATTGCTTCGCATTGGACCAAGTCTTTTCTGGCTGCTTCTGGTGTTAAAGCAGAGGAAAAATTGGAACATTAATTAACAAGAAAACTGTCTTATTGGATTAAAGAGACATTTAAAAAATAATATATGATTTAATTAATAAGTTGAGATAATTGTTGTCTTATAAATAAAAAAAGTGGTTTTATAAATTGTCTTCTCAATTTTAATATCCCTAGTAAAACGAAGCCTTTTTTTATTTTTTTTTAATTAGCTGATTGCTATCTCTTGAGCTCTCTTCTCTTTTCTTTCTTGATGGGGTCAAGATATTGTAGTTGAGCACTAATGGTCGGGTAATGATGTTTGTGATCGGACAAGCATTCGAACAATGGTTAGATCATAGTCAATTAATGGTGGTTGAAAGATTATTGTCAAACATCAATAGCCAAATGACTGTAGTCGAGATGTTGTATTCGAGTAAATGCGATTAAGAGTTTGTAGTAAGACAATGATGGTCAGAAAATCATAGTTGAGCAACAACAATTAAAAGATTATATTCCAACAAAAGTGTTTATTAGACAATAATCGGGTGATAGGAGTCAAGAAATAGGCAACAATAGACGAGAATCATACTTATGAGATCATAATAGGATGACGATTATCGAGAGATTATAATCCGGAAACAGTAGTCGATCAAGAGATCATAATCAGGCGATTGTTGTTTAGCTACAATGATCCAATGGCTGCGGTCATGCGACGACAAATTCATATAAGTATCAATAAGTTGAAATATAATTAGGTGTCACTAGGGAGGAAGGTGAGAGAAACAATAGAAGATTATGTAATTATTAATTGGTACAAGGTTGTGGCTAACCATCCCGTAATACATAGATTTTGGTATACTTAATAAGAAATTAAGGCATTTTTTTATATATTAAATGCATAAATTCTATTTTTTTTTTTTGGCATATAGGTCAACTAAGTCAAATTCATACACACGTCATATATATAAAATACAAATTCAAGACCTCTTAGTTGGTAATCAAAGCTCTCAACCAACAGATGAGGATAAGTTGCATAAATTCTAATAATTTGAATCTCAAATGTCTAAATTTCTCTATTAAAAATTATTTTGAATTTTCTTTTATTTTAAAATAATAAATAATAAATTATCAATGATTTGACTCAAATTCATAATGCCAAAAAAAAAAAAAAGCTTCTTCGATCGTTGCACAATTTTTTCCTTTCCAATTCAAATAAATTGCTAATTGACAAGAGTTCCATGCGCATTATGCAGGTAGTGAAATGGGGAGCACTGAACATGATGGAAGCAGAACGCCGTCTCCTCGCAAACGCCCTCCTCGACTTCTCCAACGAACGATTCATCCTCCTCTCCGAATCCTGCGTCCCTCTCTTCAACTTCCCCACCGTCTACTCCTACCTCCTCAACTCCACCACCTCCTTCGTCGAATCCTACGACAACCCCGCTCCCAACTGCCGCGGCCGCTACAACCCCCATATGTTCCCAACCGTCCCCGTCTCCGGCTGGCGCAAAGGCTCCCAATGGTTCGAACTCAGCCGCCAGCTCGCCGTCCAAGTCATCGCCGACGACCGCTTCTTCCCCGTCTTCCGGCGCTTTTGCCACCCTCCCTGCTACGTCGACGAGCATTACCTGCCCACTATGGTGAGCATGAGCTTTGGCGAGCTGAATGCGAATCGGAGTCTTACGTGGGTGGATTGGTCGCATGGAGGGGCTCATCCGGCGAGGTTTATTCGTCCGGCGGTGACGCCGGAGCTGTTGCGGTGGATGAGGGGGGGTTCAAGTTGCATGTATAATGGGAGGAATACGACCGTTTGCTTTCTTTTTGCGAGGAAGTTTCACCCGAGTTCGTTGACGAGGTTGTTGACCTTTGCTCCTAAGGTCTTGGGTTTTGGCAGGCGGTAGTTTTCTTTTATGGTTAATTATTTAATTTTTGAAAAAAAAATCATATAAGATAGGATAGGCTACAAAGTTTGTAAATTCAAAGGCTTTGATTTGGGACAAATTTTTTTTATTTTGTAAAGCTATTTTTTAGTATAAAAATATCTTAAAGAGAGAAAAAGCTTTGATTTGAAATTGTCCCAAATGAAGCAGATGGTTCTCTTATTGCTTCTTAAAATAATTTTTTAGTATAAAAATTTTTATACTAAAAGATTACTCTAAAAAACAGTAAGAAAGTTTTCCCAAATGAAGCCTTAAATTAGTAACAAAAATGTTAACACAAATGTCAATACAAATTCAATAATTTGAAAATTCATCTTGATACAAAATGTCTAATGCTATATTTACATAATTTTTTTTCCTTTTTGGAAGGGGTTGGTGAATACATGTATCTGTATACACATGCAATAGGCAATGAAAAGTAAATATGTATTTGAGATTATTTTCCCTTGTGGATTAAAAAAATTGGAAAATAATAAAGAAGAAATATCGGGTCATTATTTAAATTTAATGAGGATGTTTATTGGTTCGGGATCAGCGATTGCCTTCTTTTTGCTTTGTTTTATCAGGGAATTTGATTATTCATTTTATGTATGGGCTAAGGAGAAGCAAAAAAAGACTCAACACCATAATTTGACTCAGTGATTCCCACGACACATCTCCTCTAATGGAAAAATTATTTTTTGATGACACCGGATGCGGATGGCATTCGAAGACCAATCATAATGCGCCACGTCACTTTTTTACTCAGTATCGGTGCTCAGTACCATTGTATACCATGTAATGTGGCGTGTTTTAGTTGATCTCTGGACCGTCCGGAGTCCGCACATAATAATTTGTCCCCCCAAAGGGGAAATTATTTTGTGAATTCACCAGACTGCCTGAAGGCGAATCAGGATGTGTAACGTCATCCAGTACAAAATAAAAAAGTGATATTGCGCGTCCTGATTCACCTTCAAACGACTTCCGAAAACTGCACAGAATAATTTCTCCCCCCAAAGATATGAAAGTTGACCGAGCTCTCGACCTCCAACAAGCTTCTATTTTGTTATATATGCTAACTTCTCTAAATTTCCGATTTTTCTCTCCATAAATTTTTTTTTGCTTTTACATTTTTTTTATATTTATTTCTTGATCTTTTTTTCATAGCTTCAATTTATATTTCGCGTTTATTTATGTTTAATTTATATTTCGCGTTTATTTATGTTTAATAAATTGTATTCATATGTTACTATTTACTAATTAAGTTTTAAATATATCAAATAAAATTTATTTTTAGAGTAGTGACATTGGTATGATTACAAGAAAATAGTTAATATTTAATCATATTATATGAAATTGATAATTTAATGATATTGGATCTATAATAAATTCTAGCTTAATAAAAAATATTAACATTAGAAATTTTTAATGAAATTAAAATTCTCATTTTTATAGTATTCTATAATGATGGTGGGTAACCTTTTGATGATATTATTGGCTGTAGAAGACTAGGTATCTCTAGCTTATTTTAAAAGAAAATTATAGAGTTTATGGTAGAATAGTAAGCGATTTTATGGATGTATCTATATTCTATAAGATTGCTAAGATTAGTTCTGTTTGAGCTAATTTGGGTTGATTTAAAAGATCACTTTAAAAAACCAATTTTATAAGAGATAAAGGGGAAAAAATGATGGTGTAGTGAGGATTACTCACGATGTGAACTTGTGATTTATAGCTGATTATAGAGTTTGGTGAAGTCTAAAAAGATGTCGAGGTATAGAGAACAAGATTAAGCCCTTGTGCTCTTTAGTTTGGCCAAGACCTTTGAAAATGGTTATAAGATTTAGGTTTCGTTTGGAACAGCTTTCTTACTGCTTCATAAAGCGTCTTTCTAATGTAAATTTTTTATTTTTTGTGCTAGAAAATTGTGTTATGAAGCAGTAAGAAAACTGTCCCAAACGAAACATTAGTTTGTTGGCATATTAGGGTTGGAGGATGCGTATGTAAAGTAGAAAGAGGTGTGAAGAGCTTAGGGCAGGCCTTAGAGACATTACAAGAAAATCAATCATTTTTTAGGAGAATATTTGCCTATAAATGCTCAATTTTCATTTGTACAAAAAATTTCTCAATAGATAACCACTCGATGTTAAATACCCTGTGAAAGATTGTTAATGGAGAAATATATGGCGTTGGAAAAAATTTCCATTTGATTGTCTTTCAAAAATTTCATCAAAAACAACACAACAACACTACGACTTCCTCAAATTTGTATGAATAACACATTTAAATATTGTATTCCTAACTATTTTTATGGAGATCATAGAAAATATTTCCAGAAGAGATCATTTGAAATTCATGGATATTATCAAAGAAATTATAATATCAATTGTCCAATTATTTTTTATCATTCGAAACTACTATTCACATAATAGAAAAATATAAAACTGTCCAATTACATATATGCATAGCATAATATAGCAAACATATATTGTATAAAGCATGTTACATAGTTAGAGTTGGAAGAATCAAATGACATAAGAGCTGTTCTCAAGAGATCTTTGGCCTATTTGCTTGGTCGGCGTAACAATAGTCAGACAACATTTCTTAGAGGTACTGTAGTCAATTAACGGAGGTCAGATGGATCGTAGCCGGATGATAGAGGTTGAAGGGATCGTAGTTAGGGGACGATAGTCGATAGGACCATAGTGGAGAGGCGAAGATCGGACGTATCATATTCAAGCAACGGTGGCCGGAGAGAGGGCAATAGAGGTTGAAGGGACTTTAGTCGGGAGATAGAGATACGATGCACCGTAGTTGAATAATAGAGGCCGGTGAGGCCATAGTCTGGCGATGATGATCATTGGAACTATAGTCGAGTGAAAGATGTCAATGAGGCCATAGTCGAATGATAGTGGCTTGATGGATCATAATCGAGCAATGGTAATCAGAGGTTTGTAGTCGGGCAATTAAGGTCGGAGAACTATAATTGAGTGATGAAAACACCAAAGAGACCATAGTCAAATGATGATAGTTGAAGGACTCTTAGTCATTGGACCGTGATTGAATAAGGGTGGTTCAATAAGCATAGTTGGTAGGTGATCGAAGTAATAAGGATTGTAGTAAGGTGATGGAAGTTTGAGGTCTATAATTGATGGGTGATTGGGGTCGAAAAGACCATAGTCAGGCGATGGTTGTCCAAGGATTGTAGTTGGGCGATAGTGGTTTAAGGATTGTAGTCATTAGAAGACTAAGGTTGGATGGACCATAGTCAGAGGATAGTGGTCAGAGGTAGGAGTTTAAATGAGTCGAGCCAAGTCGAGTTTTGACCTTTTCGAGCTTAGCTCATCAGCCGAAAGGTGGGCTCGAACTAGGCCTCGAACTTGAGTTAGGCTCAAAAAGTAAGCTCAAACTCAGCTCGTCCCATTATAAATAATCTCGCATTGACTCGTAAGCTTCTTTCATCTCATCCAATATGCTCTCAGTCATCCGCACTCGTCTCACTCACAGATATGCGATTGTCTTCCACGCTCGTCTCATATGGTATGACTCATGTGAATCATCAGCCTTGCATAGGTCGTGAACTCCCATAAGCCCAGTGTGTTCGATCGACAAAGCTCCTTGACCCATGAACTTCCAACATAAACGGTCCGCAAAAAGCCTGATCTACAAAATTAAGTGGGATTTTATAATTAAGCAAGATTTTAAGAAATTAAGAGCAATTGTTTAGAAATATTACTTTTTCTAACTATAGGTGAGATTCGAACTGGCTCGTGAGCTGAGCTATGTTAATCTCAAACTCAAGCTCATTTAATAAATAAGCTCGAGATTGAGCTCGAGTTGTACTATTGAGCTCGAGTTGTACTATTGAGCTCGATAAGTTCGGCTCCTAAGCCTATAAATAAGTTGAGCTCAAGTCAGCTTGTGAGCTATTTAGCTCACGAACACCCTTAGTTAGAGGGATTATAGTCATGTGATGAAGGTCCAAGTGACCATTGTCTAGTGATGGTGGTTCATGGACCATATTTAAGTGATGTTGTTATAAGGACCGTAGTTATTTGTCGGTGGTTTTGGGATAATAATCAACTAGCAAGGAAAGTTGAAAAGGCCTTAGTAAAACAATGATGGTTCGATGACCATAGTCAGGCGATGGTGGTCCAAGAACCATAGTTGACAATCGATCGAGGTTGAAAGGACCATTATTAGATGATGGTAGTTTGAGGAAAGTAGTTGACAGGTGGGGTGATAGAGGTTGAAAGGATCGTAATCGAGTAATGATGGTATGAGGACAAACGTCAAGCAATGGTGGTTCAATGATCGTAGTTAACAGGCAATAAAGTTTGCAAGGACCATGGTCGGATGATGGTGCTCTAATGATTATAGTCGGGCAACAGTGATATGGGGCCCGTAGTCGGTAGACAATTGAGGTCAGAAGAATCGTGGTAGTACGACGATGGTCTGAGCACCATAGTCTATAGGAGATTGAGGTCTAATAAGCCATAGTAGAGTGACAGTGGTTAGAGGTGTCATTCACTAGAATTTAAATTTGGAAGAATTTCATCACTCTAAATATTTTAACATCAACTAGAGTTGATTAATTTTCTTAGACAATGAAAAACATAAATACATTATTATTTATCAAATATTTATAATTTCTCTAAGCCCTAAATAACATATTTGCAATATTCATGATGTTGTACCACAAACAACACATTACTATAATTACATCATGATTGCAAAAAAAAAGAAAATAAAGACTAATAGATACACAAGGAAACTTTAGCCAGCAGCCCAAATCATCCCTCAGGCTTCTTACCCTTATTTGTAAACATGTAAAAATACACAATGATCATAAAGCCTAACAAGTACTAATATCTACAATTAAAATCAATGCATGAATATAAACACTCATACTCATATGAACATCCATCTATCATATACATTCTTATCATTTATCATGTAGAATATCATATCTGTCATATATTATATATCATATCAGTAATGTATCAATCTGGCTGAATATTT